TGGACGACGCCCATACAGCTTTCAAAGTTCAGAGTATCGCAACCGAGTGAAATGTATTCATGGTTTCTCCTTCCCCATTGGTCTGTATAAGCAAGATCAGGATCCTTTTCAATCTCCTCTACAGCCCACTTAGGCAGAGGAATCCTGTTAAACATCGAAATTTAACATATTCATAGGTACCAAAATCCGATAACCAATTCAAATTTCGATTCCGCATTTGGGAAATTGTTCAGTATATCCGTTGGATGATAGATAGCATTTGAAATTTGAAATTTCAATTATCTTCTAGGTTTTCAGATTTTTTCCTACCCCTTTTTTAATTATTAAAAATGTTCAGATCTTATCAACAATTAAACAATAAGAAAATGGTATTCCCGACGCCACCGCCCTATTATTGCGGATCTCGAAACCGACTGCGGAAACATCAAAATCAACGCCGGCGAATTAAATTTAAAAAAAAAAAAAATCAATCGAGGTTTGAGTTAGCTTACGTGCAGGAATCGCCGACGTTTCCGCCGCACTGGTGAAACGACATCACCGCCTGCACTTTGAGGCCGTGCTTCTTCGCCATCTCAAGGAGCTCCGAATAGCCGCCCCAATTGTACTCACCGGGTTTCTCGGCCTCCACCAACCCCCACCACACGTCCATCATTATCCCCTCAACTCCGGCGCTTTTCAGCGCCTGCAGACTCGCGTTCATCGCCTTCTTCCTATTCACCGTGTGGTTCCACGTCACGCTGTCCAGCGGCATCATAACGTACACCGGCACCCCCTTCCCCGCCTCCTCCGCCCTGCTTCCGCCCACCGCGTACTCTCTCTCCGGCGGCGTCATCAGCGCCTGCGCAGCCACAGACAGGTCCGGCCGCACTCCGCCGTGGACCGGGCTCAACGGCGGCGACGGAGACACCCGGTCCGCATCCGTGCCGTTGCTCTGCACAGAAACGCATAGATTCGTCGTCAGGGGAGACCTCCACACCGCGCTGACGGAGGTGGACGGCGGCGCGTCGCTGGACGCGCTGCCCGAGTCCGCCGCCAACGGAGAGCCGGAAATCGCTCCAATCTGGTGCGGCAGACTCATCGCCATGGAAACAAACAATTACTTGAATTTGACAATCTCAAATTTTTGTAATCGCCACGAAGGAAGAAGAAAATGTATTTCGATTTTTTTCAGAATCTGTTTCGTAAGGAGAAAATTTAGGGGGGAGTTGTGATCGGGTATATATAGGGATGGAGAACCCCCTCCGGGAAAAAGATAAGATACCAGAAGCTGTGATGGACCGTGGAGGATGCGACACGTGGCAGTCGGACACGTGGCGGGATTTGGGCGGGACCGGATGCGACGGCTGTGATTGTTTGGAGGTCACGTGAAGCGGACGGTGGGATTTGATTACGCGTGAAGGTTCCGGTGTGGACGCGCGGGCCATGTGTCCAGCTACTACTTGTCTGAAGACAAGTTTTTAGTTAGGGGCCGTTTGGCTTTTTGCTATCTACGGCTGGTTTTTGGTCCACGAAAGGAAGCTTTTTGGGGATGGAATTACTGATTTTGCTAAATTTTGATGGTAAATTACGAAAAATTCCTGAACTTAGGTTAATTTATAAAAAACACCCCAGTATCTGTAATTTATCAAAATCTAAAATCCCCTAGCGTTTGTTTCAATATTACATCAACCCTCTTACGATGTGATTTTCCATGTTACAGGGAATATTCCCAAAAAAATGTCGATTCTACATTGCAGACATGATATTTTTTTTATGCTACTTTTGAGAAATAAAATTACCATATAGGGCATTTAAACGGAATATTTATTCTTCTAATTATGACCAATTCACAACTTTCTAGTGATATTATTACACCCTTTTGAGAGCAAATTTATACATTTAAAAAGTAGCATAAAAGAAATTTCACGTCTGTAGGGTTATAATTGGCATTTTTCGGGAAATATTCCTTGAACTCAAAAAGATTCCGTGAAAAATAACGCCGTAAGGGGGTCGGCGTAAGACGAAAACAAATATCGGGGGGATTTTAGTAGTTACGGATTAGATGAGGGCATTTTTCATAATTTGGCCTAGGTTTAGGGCTTTTTTCATAATTTAACCCAATTTTGAAATATGGAAAAGCCAATTTTATTTTTTTTTATTATTTATTATTTATTTCCTATTTTGTCTTTTGAATAAATGTCATTTTGTGGCAAATGTCACTGCCCATGCCCACCAACTAATAGATTGTGGTTGCAGCTTCTTAGAGGAGGAGATTTTGTGACACGTGAATTCATCACTAAAAACTTTATTTGCCTAAACTTTTGGAAGTATATTGTAAGAAACTTTTTTACAACTCTCTTAGGTAGTGTTTGGTCTTATAATTCTTCTTACGTTTCTTCTAAAATAAAATTATATTGTCAAAAAAGTTTGGAGGAAAGAAAAAAACAATCTTCACTTATTTCGTTATTCCAGTTACAATAACATATAACTAGGGGTGAAAATCTGACTGAACGGATCGGAAATAGCTTTTTCTAACAAAAAAAAAACATTTTTCTTTGAAAGTCAAAAATGAGTTCCAATTTCCGTTCCAAAAAATTGACATCCAAAAATCTATTCCGATTTCAAAATGCCTTGGAATCGACATAATTTCGGAAATTGCGTTGATTTTGTAACACACCCATCCCACTTTGGAAAAATATGGGATTTTGTGTGAGCTTTGAACGGAACGAACTCCTACTACTATTGGACACCAATATTTTACATAGACTTTTGAGGTGGGCTTGTGGTAGGCCCGTTGTTTTCTAGATGCCTAGTAGGTCATTTTGAAAATCAAAATTTCCAGTAATTTTAAGCACAATTCCATTTCCACTCCAAAAAAAAAAAAACCTGGAACTTCGAAAATCGGAATGAAAAATACGGTTCCAAATTTGACTATTTTCGGAAGTTTCAGTAATTTTATGCACAATTCCAATTCCGTTCCGAAAAAAATAAACCTGAAACTTTGAAAATCGGAATGAAAAATACGGTTCCAAATTCGACTATTTTCGGATCGGAACCGACAGAATTCAAAAATTTCATTCAGATTTCCGCCCCTACATATATTCACTAAAAGATTGTTTCTCAAACTTTTTTTTTTATCCAAAATATATTTACCCCAACGTACTAAATGTGATTTAATTTTATTTATTTCTCAAATTACTCACCCAGAATATATTCCTCCAAATAAAATGAGTATAACTCCAAAAGGGGGACAAACATTCATTAGCCTTTGTTTGGGGGTGCCAAATATTTGTATATCAAGACATTAAAATATATGAATTTGAATTCAGCATACTTCAATTTATATTGTTCTATTTGTTATAATGTTATGACCATAGCAAAATTAATGTGAGGATTCGTGGATTAAAGTTTCATTTATGGGGCATTTTCGATTTTCAAACTTTTAAATATTTCAAATGTTTAAAAAAAAAAACAAACAAACAAACAAATAAATCATGCAGTAATATCCAAATATGTATGGACTGGTTGTTACGATTGAAACATATTATTTGAGTTTAGTTTTTTATTTATAACATTAATACAACTTGAGCAAATTTGATTTGTTAGATGTGATGCAGTCAACAATAAATTAATACAAATTACCTCAATATATTCTTCGAATTTACAATAATTTTTCGATAACTTTCTTCAAATGGGAAAATCGGAGGGTTACTTATATAACGAACACACCTTAATTTAAGAATGAAGTAGTTTACATGTAATGTAATTACAAGGAAGATATTTATATGCTTGATTAATTTAATTATGGACCAAAAATATTTATTTGGGCTTTTTCTTATAAATAAATGATTCCGTATCTTTAATTACGAGTTTGGGACCCCCTCATCACAAAAGTCCACTTACAATGAGCCTAAATTTATTTTTTATTTTTAAGATAAATCCAAAATATATTTTATTAATAAAAATTAATTAATTATCACAATTATACCCTTACCTTATTATAAGGTATGTTAGGGTTGAATATAAATATACGTAATATATGTTCCCTTGATATCACGTTCTCAATCTCATCCACAAATCTCGCTCCACAAATCTCTCCCTTGAACATCACATGTATCTTTTTTTTTTTTTTTTTATCTCTAGATTTTATTTTATTTTATTTTTCTTTTCTATTCGCCAATTTTTTTTTCTTTTTTTTTTCTTTTCTATTTGCCAATTTTTTTTTCTTTTTTTTTTCTTTTCTATTCGCCGTTGTAAATCTCCTTCCGTTCACCTCTTCTTCTCTCTCCATCGGCGCTGCCCCAACCTCTACCCGCAGCCCCCCCAGCCCGGCGCCGCTCCAGCCCTCGCCCGACGCCGCCTCATTCCCCGGGTGGCGCCGCCCCAGCCCCCACACCTATTTCCTCTCTCTTCACCGTCGCCGAACGATATCTATGGGTGGTAGAAAAAGGTAAATATTTTTTTTCGCTTCAATCATCTTTCAATGGTTTTAGGGTTTGTGGGGAAGGTTCCTATTCGATAACAATATTGTGAAAAAGACTATTAATTCTTATAAATTAATTTTTTTCTTGATCATATTGATACAGTGACCCTCGTCGGCCTTGTTGGTGGTGATGTACTTATCTTGCACATTTTATTGGATATAGTAGTGACTTACGTTTTAAATAGCGGATTTTTGAATAGTGAATAAATGTTTTTTTTAGTTGTGTTAGTAGTGGATTTACGTATGTTTTTAGTGGTTTTCGATAACTTTGTTATTGATTATGTTATTATTAAAATGGATTACGTTAATTTTTCGTAATTGGTCTTGCATTTTTTTCTTGGACATAGTAGTGGTTTACGTTTCTAATAGTGGTTTACGTTTCAAATAACGAGAAAAAGATGATTACACGGACTATGCTCTAGGGTTCATTGGAGAGAAGATTGTGTCTTTTATAGTGGATTTATAGCTTCTTTTTCGCAGAATTTTGACGTTTTTTCTTAGAATTCATAGTGGTTTTCGATGTTTATATAATTGTATATACATAGTGGTTTTCATGTTTATATAGTTGTTTTATGCAGAGTGGTTTTCATGTTTATATAGATATTTTCATAGAGTGGTTTTCAAAGTTATAGCAGATTTCGAAGTTTATAGTGGATTCCACTTTGATAAATCTGCTGGATGATTTTTTAAATATTGAAATAATAAAAATTAATCGAATTAAAGAAATTAATAAAAAAATTAATTAAACAAAATATTTTTTATTCAAGAAAAGTGGGGAAAAAATAAACAAAAAATAATTTAAAAAAAAACCGGAACTAAGAAAAAAAAAACTATTAAAAATGAAAATAAAAATAAAACTATTTTTTAAAAATTGAAAATGAAAAACATGAAATATAAATAAGAAAAAAATAATTTAAAATAAAAAAACCGAAAATAAAAGAATTACAAAATAAAAGAAAACCATTAAAAAGAAAAGAAAAGAAAAGAAAAAAAATAGAATTTGAAATGGCGTAATATGGGAGATATTAAGGGGTTAGCATATTTAAAAAAAAATTATTTTTTCTTAATAATAAATAGGGATATTTTGGATAATTCATGTCAATTGGGTTTATAACAAATATCAATTAATAAAAATGGATTTATCATTAAGTGAAAATTGAATGAGGGGTGTTTGTCATATAGCCCCCATAAAAAATACTTGATTTTTTAACCAATAAAATATATAATTTAAACCAATAAAATAATTTATTTTTGAACGGTTTAAAAGGTTTCAATAATAAATTAGGCATAACCACAACTTAATGACGGGTTAAGAGAGGCCCAAAATCTTCTAAAAGAAAACGAGGTTCATAATCACAATCGCATTATAATTTGGTTTTTTGCAAAACTTTTTATAAAAGTAAATTTTGTTGATTATGAGTAAAAATTTAGATAATTACTTACTTTTGAAAGTCATGTTGAGAGTGTTTAATAATACTAAATATCATAACAAAATAATTTTAAGTGGTTAATTTATAATAAGTTTATAGGGTAAATTACGGTCAACCCCTGAGATAAAATTAAATTACGGAAAACTCTCTTTTGTTTGATAATTACAATCACCCCGACTATGTATTGTATTGTATTACAAAAATCTCCCTCATTCAATAGGTAAATATAACAAATACCATAAGGGTAGACGTGTAAAACAAAACATAGTTGAGGATGGTTGTAATTAGCCAAATAAAATAGATTTCTTTGTAATTTAATTTTATGTCAGGGTGACCGTAATTTTCCCTAAATTTATACGTCGGAAATTTATAAAATAATGAACAAAGTCCAACGTCAATGACATAATACGATCAATAATGTTGGGCTATTTGGGCCTTCCGGAGTCAACTTGTCCATCGCAGGTGGAGTCCAAGGAAACTAACTCGCTTTATTTAAGCTAAATATTACTTGTTAGTTTTATTTCATGTAAATATTAATTATTTGTGTCATATTTAGTTTCTTGCTCTTGTTGTTAAAGTGTTGTAAGAATCTGTAGAAACAGAAATAAAACATACACAAATTTTAACGTGGTTCAAATACAAATGTATCATAATCTACGGAGACCTGCAAATAATGATTCACTAATTTTAGTTTTATGAATACAATTGGACTTGTTCAAAATTAAATACTCTCTATTTGTTGATGCCATTCTTGTACAAAACTTGAAATTGCGATCTTCAATTTGCAGTACGTCCACCACTTCGCACGGGTTGAACTCCCTTCAACCTTCAACATTGTACACATTCAGCTGGCGGTGACCTCCTCTTGAGATCTTGAAGTCCTACTCCCGAAGTTTTGCGTAGAAAGAGAAAACTATATATAATCTTGCTGGACTAAATCTCAAGATGATGCTAGAGCAGAAATAAAAACGAGCGCAAAAACATTTTTTTTGAAAGACATTTCTCAATAAAAGGCAGTCCCTGACCGAGCCGTCTGACCGTCCTCGTTGAACTAGTCTAATCGTGACCGAGTCGTCCGTCATGTTTGATGTCAGTTCGTCCTAGAACCAACCTAACCATGACCGTCCGTCCTTCCTGTTTGATTTCCAGTCCGATTGATAATACATTTATTATAGAGAGCCAAGTTAACAAACGAAAAAGACATAAATAATTTTATATAAACAATAGAAGGTTTTTTTTTTTTTTTTTTTTTAGTAATTCTCAACAACATATAAAAGTGTTAGTTGAATTATAGGTTTCTCTTCAAGAATTTTTTTTATCAATTAGGTTAAGAACTCGTCAACAAAATATATCTATAAATGTAGTTATGTTAATTAGGGTAAATTTCACTTTTCCCCTGTACTTTGACTCGATATCACTTACCCCTTTCTACTCTCGATTGCATCGATTTAAAAAACACAACCCCTCCCAGTTTTAATAATTATTAAAAAAACAAAAAAGAAATAAGAAAACAAAAAAAATAATAAAAAATTCAAGACAACGAGAAAGCATAGTCCACGAAGGCAACCACAATTTATTTTTAATTTTTTTTTAAAAAATTTACCAATTATTTCAATTGGAAGGGGTGACTTTTTTTTTTTGTAATTTTCAGAGTTATATCAAATGGTGTTAATGTTGAATGTCTAAAACTAACAATGATGGCCATATCGAAATAATTTTTCAAATAACGGGAGTAAAGTGATATCAAGCCAAAGTATAAGGAGGGAAGTGAAATTTACCTATTTAAATATATTACTACTATTTCCAATGAAAAAATAGCTAATAGTCCATTTCATATGAAATTTAATTAAACAAAATTACCAGCAAACTTTCGAACATCGAATATTTTAGCAAAATATAACAATAAATGTCCAAGGAATTATGGGGTGTGTCGCATATACACCCCTCAATTACGAAAATATACCAAATTACGATATTTAAGGGTATCTTTATAAAATAAAAAAGCAAGAGATTTTTATCTAAAAAAATATTACATCATAGGGCCTTTAGCATATTCCCCCTATTTTTTCAATGAGATATTTTTCAATATTACAACAATTCAAAAGGTAATTTACATTAATAACCCCGCTGATTACATACACAAACCCTTAACTAAGGGCAATATAGTAAAACAACATGCCCTCGTGACATATGAAGTATATTTCTGTCCGATAGCCGGAAAAATCCATAACCCCCGCTCCCCCCCACCCCCACTGTTCTCCTCTCCTTTTTCTCTCACCATTTTTTCCTTCCCATTCTGCCCCTGCCTGCGAGATCTCCTTCCCCTCCTCCTTTACGTAAATTACTCAAAATCCAGGGGCAGTTCTGGAAAATTCAACTGAATCTCGCCTCCGTGTAAACCCCAATTTTTCCTTCATTGCTGGCGAAGCTGCGGAGATGCCGGGATTGAATTCCAGTTGTGTAAATTTCGATGGATTTTTGTATTGAATTGTTCGTTTAATATTGTGAAAATTCTTTTTGTTGCAAATTAATTATGAGGTCATCGTCGGTTTGGCCGGAGAATTCCGCCTCCTCTGCCGCTGCTCCGTTGCCTTCATCGTCGAATTTCCCGCAGCTGGTGCCTCCGCCGGTGGAGCCGGCTCATGAATCGAATTCGAGGCAAAGGTTGAATCTTTTTGCCCGTTTTCAATCTCAATTTCGCAATTTCGATCTGGAATTCGATTTTGTTGAACTTGTTTTATTTGGAATTTTCTTTATGAGCTGGTTTTTTGGGGTTTTTTTTTTGTTGAGGGCATGCTTGATTTAGGTGGTAATGAGCATTTGATCCGTGGGGGCACATTGCATGTAATTAGAAATCAGTAATTCGCTTCGTTTTCATTTTCTTTTTCCATTTTGGAAATTATCATGTTGTGGTTGGTATTTATTATATTTTCGTTACCCTGAGATGAATGAAATGCAAAATTAACCGATCCGTGTAGATTGTGTAGTTGTCTGGTTGTGATTTTGCTAGATGTAACCTTTGTATAGGATGTTTACCTGATTTGGTTTTAGATTTATGCTGATTCTAGTCATGGAGGAACATAAAGATTTGCGCGCGAAAGTCGAGTCGATTTGAATTTGAATTAGTACGGAAGAGCCGTTGATAGCCGGTCTTAATTTCCTTAGATGGTTTGCGTTTAACGGATAGCGACTTGTTTATCTTTTAGCGTCATTGTTAATTTTTAAGACTATCGTTCTCGTCTAACTTTTTCTTTTTTCTTTCGGTCGGGAATAGGATGTTGAGTAGAATCATTATTGTTTTGTTTATTTTTCTAGTTAACTTTATGGATAACTCATAATAAATTTATTATTGTAATGACAATGGTGCCGGAGTTGAATTAAATGTTCATTCATCAGTTACGTGCTCTCTTATTATTCTTTTACACGTGGTGAATTTTCCAATTATGAATCTATTGACGAACACCGTTGTATGCGATGTTGTTGAAGGCAACATTTTTACGGCTTTTTGGCACCTTTTCCATTTAGAAATATGTTTTAGAGGACTTTCCCCTTTTCTCCTAAATGGTAGTTGTCTTGCTTTAATTATTTTATTTTATTTCTAAGCGTCAAGAAAATAAATTTGCAATCAGATATGAGACTTGCATATAATTAACTTTTTCTTCTACTCGTCTGTGTTTGTTCATTACATTTTAATTACATGTGAGCTTATTTGGGTGCTTCTGTGTGCTTGTATTTTTTGGATCTGGTATTTACATATGCTTTTCTTTATATCATTTTTTAAAAAAAATTCTTATGTGTAAATAACCAATGGCCAAATTCCTACATATATATTCTTGGACATACAAATTGGTTTTGACATGCTAAGTTCTGCTTGCAGTAATGTGTTTAAATTGTTAGCTCAAAGAGAGTTATCTCCGCAAACAAAGAGGACTCCCAAAAGATTTTGGGGAAAGCCATCCAGACGACATGCCGATTCCTCCGTAATTAAACGTGAATTAGCAAGAGATGCGAAACAAGAACTTCGATCGTGGTATATATTATTCCTATGTATCTATGGTTTATATGATTATAACTTATGCTACTGTAGATAATAACTTATCGTTTAAATCTGAACTATAGGGTGGAGGCAGAGTCATTACTACATTTGTCAGCCAAGTATTGTCCTCTATTGCCTCCACCGAGGTCAACCATTGCGGCAGCGTTTAGTCCTGATGGAAAGACACTTGCTTCTACCCAGTTAATATCTCTACCTTCTCTCTCATACACATATGTAAATCAGTTGTGTATTTGGCAGACTTATAATGTTATTGATGATGCAGTGGAGACCATACAGTAAAGATTATTGATTGTCAAACTGGAACATGCTTAAAGGTGCTGAGTGGTCATCGGAGGACACCTTGGGTGGTAAGCTGCCTTCTCGTTTTATTAATCAAACCACTCTGGAAGATATCTAAAAGCATACGATGATTCTACTTTCAAACCTAATTATTCAGAAAAAAAAAGAAAAAAAGCGAAAGAAAGTAATAAATAAAGAAGAACAAGAGGGGAAGATAACTGTTGTGATAGATTGTCCAGGGTTTTTGGAAATTGATTTTTTTGGTAGAGAGTTAATTAATTTTTTTGTCAAACCGACCAAATTGCAAGCTTATGCTTGGTTATCTAACTTGTTAATGGGACTTCTGCAGGTCAGGTTCCACCCACTTCATCCTGAAGTTCTAGCAAGTGGAAGTTTAGACCATGAAGTTCGTTTGTGGGATGCAAAAACCGCAGAATGCATAGGATCTCGTGATTTTTGTAAAAACTCTAAACATTCATACTTCAGAGAGATTAAATCTTATATTAGTAATTCATCTCCTCTTAATGTCACTTGGTTAATATCTGTCCATGCAGACCGTCCTATAGCTTCAATTGCCTTCCATGCCCAAGGGGAGATTCTGGCTGTGGCCTCTGGTCATAAGGTGAGAATTTTAGAAATATTGATCTTGGCAAAATTAGATATCTGCAGACTGCATTTTCTGACCTTGCTTATGTGGCAGCTCTATATATGGCACTACAACAACACAGAGGAGGCTTCCTCACCAGCAATTATTCTGAGGACTCGCCGTTCCCTCCGTGCCGTGCATTTCCACCCACACGGTGCACCATTTCTTCTAACTGCAGAGGTAAATTTGCTTTTATAAATTTTATTCTCAAAGTCTCAGTGAGAAGTCTCACAGTGATGCTCTTTACAGGTCAATGAACTTGACTCGTCAGACCCTACAATGACACTTGCAACTTCCCCTGGGTACTTGCGCTACCCCCCTCCTACTATATATCTGGCAGATGCTCACTCCGCTTTTCAATCAAATTCAGGAAATGAGTTGCCCATCATGTCTATACCATTTCTAATCTGGCCTTCAATTGGCAGAAGTGATGCCGGTTTACTTTCCCAGCAGACTGATGCAGACATGAACACCGGTGTTTCACAACAGAGGGTGGGTTCTGCTGCATCTGTACGACTCCTCACGTATTCGACTCCATCTGGTCAGTATGAACTCGTATTGTCTCCTATCCAATCTCCTGCTCGAGAAGAGCCACAGAATAATTCTTTAATAAGGGAAGTAGACAATGCTATTTCTCAACCTGATGTGGATGCCATGGAGACAGATGTCCAAACTGAAGAAAGAAGCAATCAATTTTTCCCATTTGGCGACCCAGCGTATTGGGAGCTTCCGTTTTTGCAAGGGTGGTTGATTGGTCAAAGCCAAGCTGGTCAACGTGCAATGCACTCGCAAAATGGAGGTCCAGATGAAGATTTGTCTACCTATAGTGCAATGGGGAACCCATCACCGATGGTTCCTCCATCAATTCCTAATGTTGGTAATCCAAGAATTGCTGGAAGATCTGGTTCACGACACCAATCTTCACGCTCCCGCACAAGACCAGCCACCGGATCCAGTGACAACCCTGCTCTTAACAGTATTCCTCCCGAGCAGAGTAATACTCAACCTTTCATGAGCCAAGTCCAAACGGAGGTAGCTACCTCGCTAGCTGCAGCTGCGGCTGCTGAGCTACCTTGCACTGTGAAGCTTAGAATATGGTCTCACGATGTGAAAAATCCATGTATAGCACTTGACCCAGAACGTTGTCGCTTAACAATTCCGCATGCCGTACTCTGCAGGTAAGCAAAGCTGTTTATCATTTGTACCTAAAACTGTTGTTTTCAGTAGTTTCACACACTATTTTCTAAGTAATCAGTAAGTTATCGGGTCCTAATTAGGACGTTACAGTATGAATGCATTGCATGTTACTTCGTTCTCTACAAGATTCGTCTTTTTTCTCCATTTTCCTAGCTGAATTACATCAAATGCTTACACAAGTTTTACTTTCATAGTGAGATGGGTGCCCATTTTTCACCATGCGGAAGGTTTTTAGCAGTCTGTGTAGCATGTATCCTGCCAAACATGGACGCTGATCCAGGGTTTCAAGGTCAAGCTCAGTATGACGCTACAGGGGCCTCGACATCTCCAACTAGACATCCAATTTCAGCCCACCAAGTTATGTATGAGCTAAGGATATATTCCCTTGAGGAAGCTACGTGAGTCCTTAAATGTGTTTTTACCTGTTATTGTACTTGATTATCCTACTCATATTTTTCCTCCGAGCTGATGATAGTTTTCTTTATGTAGATTTGGTTCTGTTCTAGCATCTCGGGCAATCAGAGCTGCTCATTGTTTAACTTCAATACAGGTCAGTTGTATTATTAGCCTTGGAAGATAGAAAATGTAAACACTTTATACATACTTTGCCATGAAGTCATGAACATAAACATGGAATTAAATTAGTTCCTAATTTTGTCAACCATTTGAATTCCTTCTGCCTTCTATGTCAAAATCCACTTAGAAGGAAATCTGAATGACAACTTAGTTTAAAATTTCATTGTTCTCGTTAAAGCTTTAAAATTTTCCTATCGAACTATATCGAGGAGGTTGCATACCAAGGTCACTAATTCTGGCTAAGTAGTATCAAAGTTCCCTAATTAAGATTCCAATTATGAAGCAGAGAATTGACTTTTTGTTGCTGTTCTTTTTCTCTATTTCGAAGTATAGGTATTCCTCTTCTGTACAGTTCCTGATTTATCCCTTTACTTCTTGCTCCTTTTGCAAGAAAAGGGAAATGATCTCATCCATCATTGAATTTCCCTTTCAGTTTAGAAGTTTGTAGGTTTGTTTTGGAGATCTTAGGTGTAGAAATCTACTCCTTTCTACGAAGTTGTTGAATCCCTGTTCTTTCACATTATCTTGTAGTTTTCCCCCTTCTTAAATATATCAGTGATAATGATCCATCTTGATCGTCAAATAGGTTGTTATCCTGGAAAGTTGGCTGTTCCCCAGATATTATAAAGATGCAGGACAAGTGTTTACTAAATAAGCCAAGATTTTCTTACATGTTTCGGACATTTATTCAGTGGTTGAGCATCCTTATCCCAATTTTTCTTGTTGGTGATTTGTGTCTGTCCTTTTGCTTTATTATTAGTGAAATGTGCCCGTAGAAAGATCTGGGAATTGCTAAAATATGATTATAAAAGGCGCATTATCTTTCGAAGGCTTAATTTGTTCATGTGGATAAATGACACTAGTTCTTGGCTTCTTGGAGTAAAGCTAAGACAACAATGTAGAACATATCATTTTGGTGATAAATCAAATTGTTTATCTGGGCATGCATGTCGGTTGTAGATGTTTATCTTGCTAATAGAAATTTTCTTAATCAGTATGAAGGTGGGACTTACTGTTGTACATTAGTCGTAATTATCGATTTAGTTGTATGTTTCATTGTAAATACTAGCATGGGTTCTGATCCAAGATCCTTTGTCAACTGCAGTTCTCTCCTACATCTGAACATCTGTTACTAGCGTATGGACGACGCCATAATTCACTCCTTAAAAGTGTTGTGATTGACGGAGATACAACGGTACCAATTTACACAATTTTGGAGGTGAGATTTATTTGCAGAAGTTGTGGTTTGTTATTTTCTTTTGCATTATATACTATTCTGATAGATTAGGAAGTTATGTTTTCATTTTTTGGTTTTGTTGTATGATCCATTTAAATTGGAGATCAGCATTGAGAGAGTACGAATATGGCAAAATGTATACGTTAATTAGGAGAATATAGGAAATATTACCTGTCATGTAAAACTGAAAAGGCCTTTTCTTCATTTAACTTAAGGTTTTATAACACAATTGGGATGGGGTAATGTGGTGTTTTTTGCATCTTATATCCTTAAGAAAACATGGGAGTAATTTGAAAAGACTCCGATTTTCATACAAAGAGATAACTTTGACTTTTAGATGGATGTTTTATTTTTGCTTCAAGAATTAGAGAACAGAGATGCAGCATTCAGTACCATGTCGTTTTGGTGTTTGCACGACCCTTATACCATACTTAGAGTTTATCTTTATCGTACAGATCTACAGAGTTTCGGATATGGAACTTGTGAGAGTTCTTCCCAGTGCAGAAGATGAAGTCAATGTAGCTTGTTTCCATCCGTCAGTTGGTGGTGGCTTTGTATATGGAACCAAAGTAAGCGAAAATTGCTTATTGATTTTTGTTTGTCGTCTTGTGTATCAGCTTTTTTCTTTGTTGATGACCTTGTTCTTGTAATAATACCAGGAAGGAAAGCTGAGGATTCTACAGTGTGATATATCTCATAGCTTTAATACTGAGGCATCCTCTGGTCCCGATGACAATATGTTTGAGGTACAGAAAAGATTATGTTTGCTGTTCGAATGCTGGTTTTACACATCTTTATTTATGAATTACTCTTCTGGACAAAAAAAAAAAAAATCGAAAAAAGAAAAATCGGCAGCATTACACTATTTTCTTTTGGTTTATACTAATCACTCAACATACATCAATGAACAGTTTTTAAAAACCTTAAGTCAGCTTCCTGCTATTACAAAGAAAACAAAAATTCTTGTGCATTTGCTAAATGAATGCCAATTGATCTCACGTACATAGCATCTTATTGAGGGTAGTCTCGATATGGATGGTTTTGATTGTAATCGCCTTTCTGTATGTTGTTGTATTTTGATTATTTTTTAATATATGATTTATTGGTTGAAGGCTCAGACGTATGCTTTGGAAGGCTGATTATTGTCGAGTGAAGTCAAAATGTTGCGGACTTTGTAGCTTGATTACAGGTTGGTTTCAGTTTTCCCTTCAATATTTTGTTTGATTTTTCCACGCCTTAATAAAAATTATTGCCGAAAAAGTATTTGGATTCCATTTATCGAGGTTAAATCTCTCTCTATTTATCCAGGGTGGTATCAAACAGGCATCATTGAACAAACGCACTTCTGTAGCATATATATCGAGTTGAGTTATGTCTATGTGGCAACCGGGATGGGAGGAAAAGTGGGTCCGGCATCTACAAAGTTGAGCATTACGGAGTTTTACATTCGACTTTCTTCATTAAGCTGTGTACATATGTTTGCTGCTACCGTTTCCCAGTGCTAAATTGCAAATAGTTGGCCGTGCTGATTGGATTGTCGTGAAACTGATAAGGATAAAATACTGCCTTCTGGCCCATACTTTTTGTTTAGACCGCGAATTTGAGAGAAAGAGAGGAGAGAGAGAGAGAGAGAATAATTGTGCGAAAAGCTTCATTGTTGCGGTTTGATTGGCTATAGATAGGGGGAACTAATTTATTTGGCATTGTATATTATTAGCAGACTCGGTTCCCCGTCGAAATTACTTTTTCTTACCAGAAAAAAAAAAGTAAAAAAAAAAAGAAGCTTTATGGTTTGATGCGGTGTTTCGATAATTTGATTGAGCAGCGATTTCATTACATGTTTGAGAATTATTTATCCCGATTAATATCGAGAAACGATAATGCGTTTTTCTTCAATTATACTGTTATGACTTATGAACAAAGACTTGGGATTCTGAATCAACAAACTTTATCCTTCTTTCTCAGCTTTGTTATAAACTTATAAGCACTTGTTTCTACTTTAGGGATCTCTCTGTCAGGTGGAAGTTGTGGTGTTTATTTTATGCTACACCGGTGATGATATTAGCAAAAAAAAAAAATTGTGGGGGGTTAAACTGCAAATCAGTCTATAGTTTAAGGGGCAAAATGCCAAGATAGTGAGATGAAAAAAATAGTCTACTTAGACCTCGTTTGGTTGGGGAATTTAGCGATTATTAACTAAAGGGTAAATACTAAATAGCGTTTAACCTCTTGTGGTTACAAGCTTTTGCATATGACCCACTTATGCTTTTAATATCAACACATTACTCTCTCGTGGTTTCCATTAGTTTTTTCGTCAAACTTAACAACTAGTGCCTAACGTCAAAATATTATTTTTGCAGACGACCCCCTTATGCTTTCATTCCCCCTTTTATTTTTGCAGATGACCCCCTTGAAATAAGGGGGGTAAGTGTGCTGATATTACGAGCATATGGAGGTCATCTGCAAAAGCTTGTAACCACAGGGGGTTAAGTACTATTTACACGTAACTAAATAATTATACTTTGTTTGATATTTGATATCCCCAATAACTCACTGTCTTTCTTTCTAGGAAGTTTATTGAACGTGACAAGGTCGGATAAAATAACTAGGTTTCAATTAAATTATTTAATCTAATCTTACCAACCAAACAAGAACTTAATCATATAAACAAGAATCAAGTGTCTGAACATGGCTATAATAATATTTTTTTTTCCATATATAAAAACAATCCAAAACAAATCTAATTAAGTCCAACAAAAAATAATTAGTAAAGGAACAACTAATTAATTAATTAATTAATTAATTAACAATCCAAAACGGCGGCGGCACAATTCTATCCTGTTGATTATCAACAAGAGGCTCAATTTTCCCATCCTCCATATTGTAAACTCCATTATCATGCCCTCCATAGCAATAATCCTCGTCCATTCGATCCCAATAATCGTCCGTAAAATAAATCGAACTCCTCTCGAACTTCGTACTCTCCTTCGTCGGAATCACCGTCGAATGATTCCCTCCCAAAAGCATCGCGAAATCACCCAAACACTCGACATCAATCCACTCCTTCGAACCGCTCTCCAATTTGAACACGTCGAAAGCAACCGTCTTGTACGGACACACCAAAGGCTCCGACATATAATCCGTTAGCGTGTCGCCCTCGTAAACCACTTCTCCGTCGTACCTCACAAACTCCCCGACGTACCTCACCGCGAGAAATATCTCGTGTGGCTGTCCCCCCGAAGGAGACAAGGCCAAGTACCATCGAGACGTGTAAAGATCCGAAGGATATTCCACGTGGGAAACCTGCCCCAATTTCCCGGGACACGAACCTTCTAGAACCTTCTTCTTGGGGGCGGTTCTTTCGCTCAAGTCCCATACTTCGACGGTGGGGCCCGGCCCTAGTGCGTACATCGTTTTCGTTCCATCGTGGCAAACGACGTCGTAGTACGTCTCGAGTTCGCCGTCGAGATTCGTCCACGCCGTGTCGCCGTGCATGCAGAAGGCGATCTTCGTCTGGCCGGTGCACGAACTGTACATGACTACTACCGCGTAGTTGTTCTTGTCGAGAGACGGATTGCCGCATAGGACGACTTTGTCGATCGTGGGATTCGAATTGTTCGATACCAGTCCGGGAATGATTTCGACTTGCGGAATTATCGGGAGGGTGTGTTTTTCGGGGAGGTGGATTTTGGTTCTCGAAAAGGGGTTGAAGAGAAAAGGGTTCGAGATTTCGTCCAAGAAGATAAGCCAGCCGTGAGATGAGCCGACGCACTGAGTTTCTTGGATCATGAGAGAAGCCATTGTTGATTTTTTTGTTTAGGTTTATGTGCGTGTATGTGTGTATATTATAGATACAGAGTTGTATATATATAGGCGAGTAGTAATCCTCGTACTAATAGAATTGTAGGGAGAATAAGACAGATTAAAACAAAAGGTAACTTTCCATGTTAAACTGATTTTAATTAATTAGGTAATATAAGAGTATCTGACAAGTTACAAATTTAGTTGCATGCACTTTCTATAGATAGGTTAACCTCAATGTTTAAGTTTTAGAATAAACCTCTCTTTTTTTTTTCTTTTTTTTTTTTTAATTTTTTTTATTAATATTAATATATAACTAAAAAAAAACTTTAAAAAAATCGGATGGATCAAATCGGAATTAGCCTTATCGGAAAATTTTCAAAAAAAAATTATATATATGATAAATTACAACCACCCCTGAGGTATGGTCAATTTACGAAAAAACCCCTTTTGTTTGGATAATTACATCTACCCCTCAACTATGATTTTTTCTTACACCTCCATCCATATGGTGTCAAATTCAACATAATCATCTAGATTTCGTGGAATGTGCTCTAGTTTGTACTCGTTTTGTGTAAAAATACAGTTTCTAATGCACCACAATCTGATATATACAAGCCAAAAAACACATATTATGATCATCTGCCTTCAAAATGTGGAGTTCGGATGGGATAAAACGGGTACAAAAGTGATAATATTCCATATAATCTCGAAGATTCCACTAAATTTGAAACCACAAGGGTAGACGTGCAAGATGATTTATAGTTGAGGGGTGGTTGTAATTACCCAAACAGAAGGGGATTTTTGTAATTTAACCATACCTCAGGGGTGGTTGTAATTTACCCTATATATATATATATATATATA